CATTGAGCCAACACCAGTTCACAGCTTGGTTTTTGATATGATAAATGGTGGTGGCAGTGACACAGAAAGAACTGAAGATCTTCGTTAGGGGCACCTTTTTCTTTTTGCAATGCTTTACACAGAGAGCTCTCCTGCTGCAACGAAATGTGATATTCAACAGATGCCAGTGTTTCGGCTGATAAGTAGGGGGGAGAAAAACCCCCCTCTGTTCAAAATGAAACAGGAACCACAGCACAGAAGGCTGTGTGGGTTTTCAGCCATCTGAACTGTTATTATGATTGATGTGGAACCGATCGTGGGAACTGGATCAGAGGGAAAATATTACGCTGACTGAATATATAATAAAATTTTCTGATGAGTGACTTGGCTAAGTTGCTGGTGGAGTTTGGAAAAGGCAGGCTGTCTCCCCCCCCCCCCAATGCCGGAAGTATTCAAAGCAATTTTGGTTACAGCCAAACACTTGCCTACAGCAAATCTGGAGGTTCCAGATTTCTGCTGGGGATGTTTAACTCTGGCTTTCTTGCATGGACCCAGGGATTGGAGAAGATAGCTTACAAATCCTGCCCCATCCTAACTGTAAACATCATCACTTGATACTGCAGCTGTGCACAGGCACAAACAATTATCGTAAGCGTGAAGGTCAGACCTCTGTACATCAACTTTCATCTATTTGGGTGCTTAACACCCTTCATTTCTGTTATTTCTAGCAGGTAGCTGTCATGATCCTGGAGTCAGATCCCTCATCTTCAGAGTATGAGGAATCTTGAAGCCAGAGGCGAAGGGAATGCAGGGTTAACACTAGACATGTTCTCATATGAGCCTGTGTGGCTTTAAGATAAGCATCACAGGCTAAGTGCTCTGGCCTCTCATTAGTAAAGGTCCAAGTGATGGGTACCAGGGACAGAGGCACCTTGGTTGTCCAAGGTGGTTGACACCGCAGTTGTGGAATTCCCTCCTTAGCTAGGTCCACTTAAGTACTTTCTCTTCTTGTTCTTAGATGGATACTACAAAAACCTCACCCAGTCACAAACCAGGTAGTTTAAGACAGATTTCTACTCTGTTTATGCTTTCTCCTTGGGTTTTAATGCCGTTTTGCTTTGTAATGGTTTTGTTTGATTTATTTTTTTGATCTGTTTTTCTTGTAATGCTTTTGTTTATTATTTCATTATTATTGAAAGAATTGAAAAGTTGCCTTTTATTTTTATATAAATAATTAAATGCGGGCAAATAAAACCTTACGAAGGTTTGTGGTTGCTTGTCACCATGCTATTATCCTATGCTTTTAAATTTCTGACAGAAGGGATGGGTGAGTCAGGTTCTCTCCAATTCCCATTAATCTAATCTTAAATTCAGTTCCCCACATTCCCTATCAGTTTGTGATCCCGCCCCACTCCAGAAAGTGCTAGTGAATATTCACCAGCATTTTGGTGTGACCCCCCCCACTATAACACATTGTGTATACAATTTTGCCTAACATACAGATTTTTTTTTTGCAAATAAATTTTCCCTAATATAATGCACTTTTCTGTTATTTTATGCATTTATGTGCATGCTTTCTCCTAGTATATGCATTTTGTACACATTACTTGGCTGGTGAACTGTGCTGCAAAATTTAGAAAATTTTGAGGGATGGCTGTGTTTTGATTCATGTATTGTTTTGGGGAGGGCAGATTAGGTTGAGTTCACTTTTAAATACAAACGGAATTGAATTTCGGCGCCATCCCTATCTGAAAGTCAAACAGACGAGGCAGGTTTTGATGGCCTTTCCCAGGCTCCGTCAATATGATATGCCATAGAGAAAGCAAAGAATCCACTTGAAACCCCATGAAGAGTTGGCAAGCACTGAGGCAGGCTGAGGCAGTTGCCGGCAAACTATTACTGCTCATTAAACCTCAGGAAATCCTTCCCAGCCTTTCCTGGTTGTGTGAAGTTGTCTTTCACTTACAATGAGCAATATGGATCAAAACACCCTTTTGAACCACTCTCTGCAATCTCAGAACAGCATTCTGAATGGGCAGATGATGCTAAGACGTGGAAGGGTCAGCAGAGGCTGCAGAAAGGATCTGACTGTTCCAGGTACCTCATTAATTGCTTTTGAAAGCCTATATGGTCCCTGCGTTTTCTGCCTCATGCTGAATCTGCATTTGGGGCTGTCCTTGCCACTCCTCCACCTCTTTTGTACTGAAAGCCCTCACTGAAGCATTCATCGCCAGCAATACATTTCTAGTGCAAACAACAATGCTGCCATCAACCCATTGCTGCAGTGTCTTTGTTTTTGACATACAAAGACGAAAATTGCCAACTGCAAACTAGCCCGTTTCCTTAAGCTGGAAAAGGAGGTTGTATGTACTGGTGTATAGGGATGTCAGAGAATCCTGACAAAAATGCAAGTGGAAGTAGAAATTACTGACGTTTGCTATTTCATTCCATGTCCAGAACAGAAATCAACCAAATACCTGTGAATAAAATTGGTATTTGTTGTTGTTACTGCTTTCAGTCTGCAATGACATGTAATTGATAATGCCTCCCCCCCCCATTCACATTGAATTTCCTTCCATTGAACTGAGAGGAAATAACACACTGACAAGTCCGCTAAAGCTTTTGGTGCAGCAAAATTGTGGCTGGGTCCCAATGTGCTGCATCGCAGTCCAGACGAAGCCCTGTTTCTTGCGTGGCTCCCTGGCCAGCAAGGCAGCCTAGCCTTGTCTTGCCAGTCAGGCCTTGTATTCAGACCTACTCAAATTCAGCCAATCAGGGGCAGGCAAACTGGCTTATGCCTTGTGGGTCCGCCTACTTCATAGCAATCGTCACAACTTTGGCTTTGGGAAAGCCTTAGTATTGGTTGGAGGGGAGGTTGTAGCCTCTCCCTGCCCCTCCAAATTATGGGTATCCAGTTAAAGAATCTGGAAGTTGCTTCTGTCCAGGTGCCCAGGCAGCGGCTGGAGCCACAGCACACCTCAAAATGGCGATCCCACAGTGGGCGCTTCTAGTTGATGTAAGTCATAGGTCCCCCCTCCTGCTGTCGGGTTGACCTAGGTTTTACTTCCAGCCAGTGGGCCTGGAAGTTCATGGTGTTACCCAATGCCTATGCCAAACCTCTGACACCTGTCAATCAAAAAAGTTGTGGCCTTATTTGACCCCAATACACTGTCTTGTCTGTTATTGTTGGTCGGTAGCACACAATGTAATTTATTTAATTAAGTGTGTAAGCGAAATAATTTTGCCATAGCATGTGGTGGGATGAATAGATTAATTTTTGGCAGGAGGTGAACTGCCGTGGAACAGAAACAGTGCTGTATACGATGGATACGGAGCAGAAAGGAAAACAATGCCTTCTTACTATTGGTACTGTTATTCTGTGCTTCTTTAACATACCCATTAAGTACCACCCTTTTCCATCTGTGGCCATGCCCCATTTTTCTACTGGCTGGGGGCAGAACACTTCTCACACATCTGACAAAGAGAGCACTAGTCCATGAAAACAAAATTCTGCAACAAGAACATGGTTGGACTACAAGGTACCACCAGAGCATTGATTCTGCTGCAAAAAGGGCTGACATAGCTACCTTAAACAATTCAGGTAGAAAAAGCGGGGGGGGGGGGGGGAAGGATATGCACCCCTCCTACTGGATGTACTCTAAATCACACCACTCCCTTTATAGCAAATCTTAGAGCAGACATGGCGCAGGTCTAGCGCCATAATGTCTTTCTCTCCCTAAGAGGCAATTAGATGCAATTCATTACCAAATTGGGAAGTAATGTCTAAATTAGACACTTTTTCCATCTTTGGGCAGAAATTGAATCCCCCCCCATTAGATGTTGTTTTCCAATTTTAAGAGCATGCTGTTTCACATTTGAAGATACCTTTTGGCAAAAACAAAAGAATCTCACGAACATGAAATGTGATGCCCTCAACTTCCTGTGCCTCATCGAGTCTGGACAGGGGTCTAAATGAATTTGTAGTGTGAATATATCGCTGATTCATTTTTGTGGCTGTCTGTAGGGCAGGAGGAATTTTGCTTGTTGACGTTTGATTGAAACCTGCATTAGCTGCCAGCGCCCACACGAACCGAAAAAAAAGAACTTAAAGGCAAGTGAGAGATTGACTGTAGACATGTACATCTGATCTGACTGATTTTCACACTTCCCTAGATTTAACTAAGAGCTGCTTTCACAGAAGCTCTGGCAAACCCATGCCCTTTCTAAATAAAATTATGAACAATTTGCAAATGCATGTGTGACCACATGGAATACAAATAAGGAGACTGCTTGTGAAATTCCTTCCATTAACTATAATTTCATTTATTTAAGGTTTTCTTTTTAATATTCTTCCTTTCCATAAAATGTGCCCGAGGCAGCTTACAATCAATGTGGAACAATTTAAACAAATCAATATATAAAAAATTGCTAGAATAAGCCACCTGTAAGATAAGGAAAGAGCCTAAATGAACAATTGGCAGCAGCAAAAGGCACAAAGTGTGTCTTACATTTGATACTAAACAGATTAAATCTATGAAGCAATTAACAAGATAGCAATTCAGTGGAGGAGGGGAACTAGGCAGCCAATGGAAGAACAACCACTGAGAAAATCCTCTCTGCAACAGCCATTGGCTAAACTACAGGTTACCAGGGCCAGCTCTAGATTCTGGGTAGTCCTTAGGCATTTACAACCCACATTTCTTGCATTGTGAAACCCAAAGCACCATACCTGTAGTTCCCAGGCAGTCACTCTTCTAGGCAATGACCAGAGAAGCTTTAGCAAGGCTGTGGCCTCAGGCTTTATTGGGGTGGGGGAATACCAAGAGAAAAAGAGGTGGCAGAAAACGAGAGAGAAACAAGTGGCCTCATCCCCCCCCTACTAATCCCACCCTCTTTTGGCTTTAACCCCGTCCACAATTGGCCTGCAGTCCCTGATGGGTTATCCCCAAGGGAAAATACAGGCCTTGACAGGGGTGGAATCTACACACATATAAAAAAATGCTGTGAAAATGCTTTAAAAAAAAAGTTTTGAAAAATGCATTGAATTTGTCATAGCTCACTGTCACCATCTAGTGTCACATTTGTATATTGCATGTCCTTCACATAAGCCCTCTCTGTCCAAAATTCCTGGGTGCCAGCTTGATTGCATGTGAAGCTGTGCAAAAGTTTTCCTAACTGGAGATAATCTTCATGCAGGAAAGAGTCACCTAGTAGTAATTAGAAATGTGTGTTTGCGCCCTTGGAAAAGTGCAACTGTTTGGAATCAGATTATGGCAATGACTGCAGTGCTGGCATTTTGTTAATGGATCAACGTCTCCTTTTGTTTCTTTAGTTTGCATAGTTTGATTAAGAGACCAAAGTATGAATGAAAGAAAGGCAGATAATTCTCTTTATAGAGATTGCACTGTGTGGAAACTATGGCTTTCTGAGTTAATCAAGCATCCCTGAAGAGCTGCCAACATTCATTTTCCTTGTAATGCCCATTAGAATGCAAGAGGAAGCAGACGACACATCATGGCCAAACACCTGACGTTCTGGCATTGTGAATGTAACGGGGTGAAGAAATAATTCTCTCATCATCAGTCACTAACAAAAGCAGTACAGGAAGAAAGATAGAAGGAAAGTGGGATGTAAGGATGGAGGCAGAATTCAAGGCTATATTGCACATTTTGAGCATTTTTTAAATTTAAGTTGTTGAACTCTAACACCCATCAACCCCAGCCAGTGTTGTCAGAGCTCAGGGATGATGGGATTCCAAAAATATCTGGAGGGCCAGAGGTTCCCAAGCAGGGCTGTAGACTTTTCTAAAATGGAGCCATGGGGATGTGATTTTCTTTCCCAGGCAGAGAGTCTTCGGGAAAGTTTTTCCAGAGAAATGAGACCAAGCTGACAGCGTTGGGGAGGGGAGGGGGTGGAGAACCTTCCATGAATCAGCCCAACTCACATTGTAATTCAGGGTACACACAGCGCCAGCGGACACTCCTACAGAATAAGTCCATCAGCTGCCTTAATGCCCATGTTCTTCATAAGTATTCTTCAAACCTGCTATTGGCAAAAACAGAAATGAAGTATCCTCTAAAAGGTTTACTAATGAAAAGAAACAGGCTTTCATTTTGAAAAAAAAATCCATACTCAATCCAAGATTACAAAACATATAGAGGAAGAATTAATAGGAATAGCCTATGAAAAGTATAGCATGGACACGATGAATTCATGATGAAATCCCTGGCATAGTGAAGAGGAATCAGGGCTGGCCCAAGACATTTTGCCACCTGAGGTGGACCCCAAAATGGTGCTTGTTCCCTGCCAGGGAAGAAGAGGTGAGGGAAGATCTGTACCAGGAACAAAGGAGGCGGGGGAAGAAAGATCAACTGCTGTCCCTGTGGATCCTGCCACCTGAGGTGACTGGCCACCTCACCTTGGCCTCATGGATGGATCTGCCTTGAGGGGAATGCAGGCGAGCATAGTTCCAGGACATTTTTCAGAGCAGGAGCAATGATGAAGTGATAGCAAGGCTTTCAAATTCTTTTGAAAAACTAGAGGGTCTCAGCTTTAAAAAAAAAATAAAAATCACCCCCACTCCCCAGGTGGCAGCCCTTTCACCAAACCAGCCCAGTGAGAATTGCCCCTGTTCAGAAACCATGGGACACTGGGGTCATACCCACACCATACATTTAAAGCTCATGGTTTCCCCCCCCCAAAATCCTGAGAAGTATAGCTTGCCATCGCAGAGCTGCAATTCCCAGCACCCTTAAAACATTGCAACAGTTTCCAGGATCCCTTGGGGGAAACTGTGTGAATTAGATGTATGGTACTGATGTGTCCTAAGGGTCAGTAGGAAAAGGAAAAAGGAAAATTGGGAGTGTGAGGAGGGGAGAGGGAGAGTTGAGTGTCCTCATCAGCTGATGAATGAAGATTAAACCTTGCTGCCTAAGCTGTGTGGCCCTGTTCCCTCAGCACAGCCATTGGAGGATTACACCCTGCCCTACCTATCAGTCAATGTCATCAGTGATGTCAGGTGGGTGTGGCTTTAGGGGGGAAATGGCTTGGAGCGCCAAATTGGACTTCTTAGCAGGCCATGATTGGTCTCCACATACTGGAGCTTTCTCGTCTCTATGCTAGAAGGTAAATAAAATTTTTGCTTGGGGTTCCCTAGTATTTGCTAGTAGCAGGCTGAAGCCTTCAGCAGGCATCTGAGCAAAAATCCAGCTTTATTAGCCCATCTGTGCCCTAAATCTTTCTCCCTAAATTTCAGGGTTAGACATTTCAAAACAGTGCCTCAAACGCGGCAAATGACACAAACTAGAACACAAAGGCCTTTTCCAAAAAGAACAAAGCTCTTTTGAAGGCAGCTGAAATTGTCAATGCTAAATTAAAAATTAAAAATCCATTCCGTGGGCTGAAGAGAGATGGTGAGTCTGCCAGACAGCCCTTAGGGCGATGAAGTTAAAAAAAATAAAAAATCTTTCCACTACAGCTATAAAGCTCTCTTTCGTAATATATTTATTGCGTCACGAAATATATAGCTGACTTGCATGAATATGTTGCATGGGTATCGTTTTCTTTGGCAGCATCTATGTGAAAACAGCTTGGATGAGTAATAATGAAACCTGTGGAAAAAAATCTGGTTCCTTTACTGCCTAATTATTGATGGGCATCAAAAGCAGCAGGCTGGTGTGTGCGGTGTTTTTTTAAAGGATTTTTCCTCCCTCAATCCAATAAACAACTGATGCATGCTGTTTGCACAAAATTAAGAGTTATATGCTCATAAACATATAAACATCAGCTGTATTTTTCAAGCAGTGTGTTTAATACGTATTAAATTGAAGTTTTATCTTTGCTTAGCACTAAGATGACAAAGCAAAATGTGGGCAACAGTGAAGGCTGTTGGTGCTAATATTAGACAATCCGTCCATCTCCACCATGCGCTTGGCCTCACCAAGCAAAAAGAATGTGCCATATCTCATATTGCCCATGTTAGACTTCTCCGCAATTGTATTGACCTCGCCTGTCAAAGCAAAAGACATATGGCTTTAATACCGAACAACACTTCGTTCTCATAACAAAGCTCTGTTGCACGTACCGCACACTAGTGCTCAATAGCCAGGAAAGTTGAACTCGGTCCTGCTGTTTAGCACTTAGCTCTCCTCACTGGCTGGCTGACACATGTCAGAACTTCAAAGCTCGGTCATAAACTATAAGCCACAATCTTGGTGTAATCAGCAGCAAAATCCCCGTTGGCTGTAAATGTGAAAGTCCAGGGGTTGTAAGCAATGTTTCTGCACAAGCTAACCTTATCATCCAGTCCTTGCAGGGTGCTTCAGCCACGGACAGAGATTGGCTTCGGATCAGTGTAGTCTGCACCAATGGTGCCATTATTTCAACCTTAGTACTTGAGGCCTGCAAAAAGTCACATCAAAGGGAGGAATTCACTTTGAGGCTTGCAGATAGTCCACAATGTTTTTGGCGAGTGTCAGAATCAGGTTCTGCCCTAACAAAATGTGGTTCAACTCATGTTTGGATCTTGCCAACATAGATTTGCTTAAAAAAAATTCCTTATAGGAAGAGCTGTGTGAAGCTCTCCTAACAAAGGAAACATTAATACCTTACATTTTAAGTAGTATTATACCACTTTAGTAGTCGTGGAGATTCCTGAGAACTTTCAGATTCTTAAGGGTGCTGAGAATCGTAGCTTTGCAAGTTCAGCACCTTGAGCAAACTGCAGTTTCCAGAATTCTCCATGACTGCTAAAGTGACATAGGTGCTTTAAATGTATGGTGCCGTTGGAACTGGAAAGAAGAAGACTTGACTATGAATGGGTGTGGGCTTGTTACTGTTAGCCACTAGAGGGCAGGCAGAGTTAACCTTAGCTGAGTCTCAGCCCCAGGATCAATACCAAAGATCAGCACTTTGATATCAGGCAAGTGCTGTACTTTTTGGGGGGAGCTGCTAAAGATTTCTTTTGTTTAAGTGAGCCTACCTACATTTGACATGTATTTTAATATGTACATATTATTTTACAACGCATATTTTTTAAACTGCTGGCTTTATTGGTAATTTTATTGTATATTTTATATTTTATGTAAGCTGCTTAGAGAATTTGATGATTAAGCTGCATATAAATCCTGTTAAGAAATTATAACAAAAGAATAAAAACAACCTTTCTCTTTATTCGTGTTCCACCAGCAACTGAAGACACTCATTTTTAAACAAGCTTTTTAATTCTGTTGCAGTTTAATGTATATATTGTTAGTTCTGCTCTTTATGTGCTGCTGTTTCTAGTTTGGTAATTTGGGTTTTAATGGTTCGATAATTTTTGCATATACATTTGTTGGCTGCTGCAAGGAGCTTCTTTGTGGAGGGAGAAGTGGGATATGGATTTTTAAAAATGAAAATGAGCAATTAATCAGCTAGTCCCTCATTCAGATCTCTCCCCTGCCTTGAACTGAGTATACAAGTGGGGCCTGCAACAAAATGTTGCATTGTGGAGCACTGCTGCCCAAAATTCCAGCTGTTCCCTTCCCTGTTGTGCTCCAGAAGATTCTCTCAAAGCCTGGGGTCTCAGTCCAATGAGGTAAAAGCCTTTTACCAAAACACTTGTCCAAGAAAGTACAGTCCAAGGTACAGCATAGTCTCAGTTAAGCCAAGCCCAATCACCTTATATTCTGTGGCCTCCTAAACCACATTCTAGCTCAGGTATACCCAAACTCAGCCCTCCAGATGTTTTGGGACTACAACTCCCATCATCCCTGACCACGTCATATTAGCTAGGGATGATGGGAGTTGTAGTCCCAAAACATCTGGCGAGCTGAGTTTGGGGATGCCTGTTCTAGCTTCAGCTGCTTGGTAGTAAATAAGTTCTAGGGACTGCTCATTCACAAGTAGACCCCTTACTCATGAGCCACATGATGACTCAAAGTCTGTAGACATATGTTGTGTCATGGCTCTTTGGATTGGACTCTGGGCCTTTTGGCACCAATCTTCTCAGAGACTGAGGGGTGGCTCTTCCTCCTCCTCCTCTGACAAAGTTCTTCAGCAGGTCTCAACCTTTGACAGCTCCACAGGAAGATTCTCAGCACTGGTGCCAGGAGGCCCTGCCTGTTGCTCAAGGTTCTTGCCCTGTGAAGCGTCTGGTTTGTCCTCCAAGGACTCAGTGTCTGGCACCAGCTCAGGGCTAGGCAGGATGGCCCCACCCCTGATTTTCCGCCCTGCACAAAACAGCCAGTCAGAATTTACACTGGGCTATTTTGAGGGTTCGTTCTAGAGGACTAAACTTTTTTTTGATACTTCTGCAAACTTCTAGTACCTCTTCTGCTGCCTCCCTCTAATAGACAGATGTAGCCAATCTTGCTGTGTAAGTAATGACATTCACAGCCTGGACATTAGAAAAAGAGGGAACAATTAACCAACATGCTATTATTCTTCCCAAGAATTATGACCCAAATCTGTACCTCTCTTTTTTTGTTGTGGGAGAAGTTCAATTTTCATTTTTATTCTCTGTATTTCCTTCCTTCTTTCTCTATTTCCTTGTTTCAGGGATTCCCATACTGTGTGACTCATAGACCACCAGTTGGTCCATGAGCTTCATTCAGGTGGTTCATGGAGTGTTGGTGAAAATACCATTAAAAACCATGCAGCATCTACTGAAGTGCTTTACCATTGATACAACAAGCAGAAAAATCATTAAGTGGTCCACCGAGAGCAATTGTAAAGTGATCTGTGGGGATGGAAATGGGAGGGTGGGAAGCCCTGCCTCATTTCTTACATGGTTTTGAATTGTATGGTTTTGATTAAATACATTTTTAAAAAGCAATATTAAAAAATGATTAACAAGCATTATTATGTTTCGATAAGGAAGGCAGTGAGAAAAAACGGTTCAATTTTTATAACATATTGGAATAATAAGGATTCAGCCTTGAAGAATATTGGGAATGTTATAAAGGAGGTGTTGGTATGAATAAGACTTTGGCACTGGGTGGTTAATGTATCTGGTTAGCGATATAATAGCTTCAAATTTGAAAAACAAAACAAAAACAAAGGCAGGGAATTAATTTGGGAGTAGGAGGGTGGAAATTTCTTATCATCATTGCATTTGAAGCTATAGAAAAAGTTTGTACAAAGCATTTGCGGAATTTAAAAAAAGGCAAATGAAAAATTATTATTATTTAACTGCTACATCGCCATTCCTCTCACAGTGCAGAGCAACATGGCAACACAACTTGATTACTGCAATGTGCTCTATGTGTGGCTACCCTTGAGCCTGGTCTGGAGGCTCCAGCTACATTGTGCGCCCAATTTTATGGAACTCCTTTCCAGTTGATGTCTGGCAGGCCTTCCTCCCTTATGGCACCTGTTGAAGACCTTTTTATTCCAGCGGGCATAGCTGCTAACTTCCTGGGGCCCTGGGTGCCTAAGCACCCACAAAATTCCCCATGAAGGGGCAGGGCACCCACAAATTTCAGTGCCAGGGCCATGCACGCTGCATGGCACCCATGGGTCCAGGTACCCACAATCGCAGGGCCAAGCTGACACTCTTGCCAGCAAGCATTTTATGTTTGGTTTTGTCGTTACAACTGATGTTTACTTTAGGGGCACTGTATCTTTGTAAACTATTTCGAGATGACTGCGGTTCAGAGATACATGAAGGTTTTAAATAAATAAATCAAATGAATAACAATCACTTGCAAAAACTGCAGGACCATGGCAAGTCACTACTTCTCAGCCCAGTCTGCCTTACAGCGTTGGGGTGAAGTGTTGGTGGGAATCTATTTATGCTATCTTGAGCACCACAGAAGAAAGTCATGTTGTATACAGTGGTACCTCAGGTTAAGTACTTAATTCGTTCCGGAGGTCCATTCTTAACCTGAAACTGTTCTTAACCTGAAGACCACTTTAGCTAATGGGGCCTCCCGCTGCTGCTGCGCCACCAGAGCCTGATTTCTGTTCTTATCCTGAAGCAAAGTTCTTAACCTGAAGCACTATTTCTGGGTTAGTGGAGTATGTAACCTGAAGCGTATGTAACCCGAAGCATATGTAACCCGAGGTACCACTGTAAAGTAATAAATATGAAATATAAAAGGTGTAGTTTCTTCTCACACATCACTGCACAGCACATCTCTTGGGTCATTGTCCCTGAAGGGAGCTTTAAATGTGCCCAGACTCACCACAGCTCAGTCTCAAATAGTATTGCATTATAACAAAGAAAATGCCTCTGAGCAATGTGCAGAGTGCCTGCTTTTATATTTCAATCCTACCCTTCCTTTTTATTAAAAAAAGCACACATTCTCCCACTTTTATTCTCACAACAGCCTTGTGAGGTAGGTTAAGAAGATGAGTTAGACTAGCAGAAGATAATGTACAAGTGCTGTGACGCTGAGGAGTGACTTGCGCCCAGCTTTCCCCAGTTTTATTTATTACATTGCTATCCCACCTTTCCTCCAAAGAGCTCGAGGTGGCACACATGGCTCTCATCCTCACAACAACCTTGTGAGGTAGGCTAAGAGGAGAGGCTGGTGAGCTCCATGGATAAGTGTGGGGATTTGAACCCTGGTCTCCCAGGTCCTAGTCTAGAACTGTTCTTCTTTGGTGATTACTCGTAGCAGAGTAAGATTGTTAAACCGTGTTTATGGAAGACAATGAGTCTGTAAGTGACTGTAGCCACTACACGACACTGCCCACCACACATCATCATCATCATCATCATCATCATCATTATTATTATTATTATTATTATTATTATTATTATTATTATTTCACTGTTTCAACCCACATGCGAGAGAAGAGCTGCGACGGGCTTTGAGCCCAGACACCTCTCCTTCAGGTTAGATGAATGAGCGAAAGCTTCTCCTCAGGGAATAAAAGCGAAATGAGCCTTCGCGCCTTTTCTCCCGCGCTTTGCTTCGCGCCAAAAAACCGCGCGCCCCCGCCCCCCCCCAGCGAGCACGCGCCTTTCCCCATCCTCCTCGCGCGCTTCCCTCGTTCTCTCCCAAGCGGGAAACGAATGAGGAAGCTTCCCGCCTTCTCTCTCCTTCTCTCTCTCTCTCTCCACTCTTCGACCCGCCCCGCCGGCCAAGAGCTGAGAAGGCGTCACGCGGGCTTCCGAACCGACCGACCAATCAGAGCGAGAGGCCGCCACGGCGCGCGCTCCCTTTGCCCGGCTCTCCCACGCCCCCTCCCTCCTCGCAGTTTACCCGGCGCAGCCTTTTAAGAGCGCGCGAGCCGCTTCGCCGGCGCAATCCTAGTTTTGCTGTCTCTTGCAACGAGTTGCTGCTGGGCGTTGCAAGCTTTTCCCCGCTCCGCACTTTCTTCCCCTGCGAAGAAAAGTGCTTCCCCGCGCGGAGAGACGCTCGCTGGGCGCTTCCCGACGGCAAGCCGTTTGGAAACCACCACCCCAGGGGCTTTCCCGGGTCTGGCAGCCTCTTCCCCCATGCTGAGCCGGTCCCTCCCGCAGTAAGTTAGCGCCCCCCACCCACCCACCCCACCGGCCGGCATGCTGCTGCCTGTCTTAGCGGGGCTGGCTTTCTCCGCGTGGGGGGCAGCGGGCGCCCAGGAGAGCCCTCCGGGGAGCCGCTTCGTGTGCACCTCGCTGCCTCTGGACCCTGCCAACCCGGGCTGCCCGCTGCCCCCCATCCCCATGCAAGGGGGCGGGCTGCCCCCCGAGGAGGAGCTGAAGGCCACCGTGCTGCAGCTGCGGGAGACGATCCTGCAGCAGAAGGAGACCATCGGGAACCAGAGGGAGGCCATCCGCGAGCTGACCGCCAAGCTCGGCCGCTGCGAGACCCCCGACGGCAAAGCGGGCACGTGGAGGAAGGAGTTCGGCAAAGGCAAGGACACCATGGGCGACTTGCCCCGCGACCCCGCCAAGATCATCGACCAGCTCAGCCGCACCATGCAGACGCTCAAGGATCGCCTGGAGAATCTGGAGGTGAGGACGGGGGAACGCGGGCGGAGCTGTCCGCGGTGCTGAAAGTTAGCCGCCGACTTCGCCAAGCAGGGACGGCAGCCAGTTGGGGGCAATGGATAGCGGGGAGGGCTCTGTGCCGAGCGGGAGCTGTCTGTGGTGCTGCAATCTGGCCTCTGGTCCTGGGAAAAGAGCGCACCCCGTTGGGGGTGATTGACAGGTGGTAGCTAGGTGCGGGGTGGGAGCTGTTTGTGGTGCTTCCATCTCTTTTTGGAAAAGAGAGCAGCATCCTTGTGGGTGACTGATGCCAGGTAGCTTGTGTTTGGTTTGAAGGTGAGAAAGTCACTTTGCCTTTGAAACTTGACTCTTAGGGAGTCCTAATAGGGATAAAACAACCTTTTGTTGTCCAGGATGCTGAAAATTGGCTACTGGTGTGGAAAGGAGGCAAGCTAGACTTATGCTGCAATCCTAAAAGTTAGCCTTACTAGGGAGCAAGCACTTCAGGGCACACTGGAATTTACTTTTTTAAAGTAGGCATTGCATTGTAAGTATCACTGAGTTCAGCTCTAACCCTTCTTCCACAGTGTTGAAGGCGATATGTATATAGGAACACGGGAAGCTGCCCTATACTGAGGTAGACCATTAATCTAGCTAGTTCAGTCTGCCTGCACTGACTGGCAGTGGCTTTCCAGGGTTTCACAAGGAGGGAGTCTCTCTCAGACCTGTCTGGAGAAGCTGGAAATTGTGCATGCAAAACAGATGCTCTTTCACTTTGCTACTGCTCTTCTTCATGCCTCCCGCTTTCTTTATCCCTCTGTGACAGTCACAGGCTAAAATACATTAACTTACCCCAAGGTCATCCACAAAGCCTTGGGGCTGAGATTTGAACCCAAATCTCCTCAATCTATACCCCAGACTCTATCCACTATACTATACTAGCATGATGGCTAAATGGAGCCTCCATGTTTGGTGGGACTGTACCTCTGAATACCAGTTGCTGAAGGAGGCAACAGCTGAGCACGGCAGCAGCCCTTTTGCCCTGTTTGCAGGCTTGCCAGAGATGGCTGGTTGGCCAGTGCAAAATGTTGAGCTTGATCCAGCAGTGCTATTCTTATACTGCTGCATAAATAACCTACACATTCTTCTGAGTAGTTGTAGTGTCGAGGAACAGGATTTGATATTATCCCCCATCAAGAAGTGCCCAGATCCCATTATAGCAGCTTTGCAACCTTCATTTTCTTAAAAATAGTCTATTGCTGTCCATATCTAAAGAATTGTGTGAAACATCTTCATTCCTAGTCTATGCCTCTGGTCCATTCTATAGTATGGTGCTTTTCCAAGTTCAAATACCAGGTCATTTTTGGGGGAAGAACTCCATATTTGTGCCCGCCTGTCTTCTTTTTTGCCATTTTCTTAGCCATTCAACATTTGTAACCTATAGTTTCATCTTCTAGGCAGCTGAAGGTGCGTCTCTCCTTAGGGGATTGTTGTCACCCGCTAAATATATACGTCATAGATTATCAGGGGAGCAATTAGTGAAGTTTCAACCTTCTGGGACACTGCAATAAACAGGCTTCATTTCCCAGAAACTCTTAGTCATCGTCTCATCTTTAATGGGATTCTTTTTAAAAAGAAAGGCTGCTCAGGTTTTATGTAAATCACTTTCTTGAACTTCTCTTTTATAAAAGGGGAACTTTATTATCACATTAAGCAGAGAAGCTATACTTTAATCCAGGCATAAGAGGGAGAATATGATGGGGAAGTGAGATCCGGAATTGGTCAATTTATTAGAAATCCAAAGAAATAAAATATTCGCCAGCTCCTGGCAAGGCGATGCTTGTTCTGAGCCCTGGTGCAGATTTTGTGAAAATTGATTGCAACAAGTACAAACTACAGAACTGGTGTTTATGAGGTGCTATTTTCCCCAATGGAAGCACAAGAAGGTATAGATGTTCTATGTGTGTTTACCAATAAAATGGATTGAGAGGAGATTTGTGGGTTTTATTTCCCTGCCCTGGTGCTTTTCATTTCTTTTTCTTAATCTCAGCCTTGGCTAAGAACATAGTTGCTTAAGAGGTTGCAGTGTAACGTTGACATCCTAGATAATGTGTCCTTGGCATATGGTGCCATGTAAGAACATGAGGGTTTTTATTTTGTTTTAAGTGTTAAGTGCTGGTTCATCTTCTCAACAGTTTAACTATAAAACCTGCTACAAAGACAATTGGAATGAATGAGACAGTATTTTAGATATTATTATTTTTATTATTAGATATGATTATTTTAGATATTATTATTTTTCAGCCCAGTGGTCACTGATGCTTAAATATTAATGCAGAGTATATCTCCTCTCCCAATCCAGCTGTCATTTTGAAGGACATGGTTGAAAGCTTTTTGTAATCAATGCAGAATTCGGTGTTTGAAGCAGCTCTTACATTTGCTTGAAGTGCTGTCAATGTATAATGAGGAAGTCTCATAGTAATCAAATATCAAGGATACAGCTGTTAAGGACAAGTTTTTCCCCTTCCTCTTTGGAAAGGAACATTATCAGTAAGGTGCAGCACCTTTGGAAATGCTAGATGCTTTGATTACCTGTGGGACACAGTGAGGCAACCTGTGGCCCAGAGGTCACAGGTATCCCCCTGTTTCATTTCATTTCATTCTTCTTCTTGACTATGACATTGAATAAACATAAGGGTGGATGAACTCAGTAACATCAGGCCTATAAAAATGTAAATAAAATGGCTAGCAGCAATGCTTTTATTGCACAGTTCAAAGGCACCCTCATGAACGCTCCAGTAAAAGGATTCAAAGAGTTAGCCATTCAGTGACGATTTACACAAATTTATCTGCATTCCCCAAAATCACATGTCTAGATTGGCGTGAGATCTCTGTCGCATGTGCCATAAGCATTTAACATTTGTTCATGCAAAGAAATGTTAAATCTGGCAGCTAATGCCCCTGTAGGAGCTATTGCATGCCACCAAAGTCACACATTCCCCCCCAAACATACCTGCATAGAAGTGACATCACTTTCTGTAGAATGGAGCGGCTTAAGAGTTATCAACCGTCCATTTGTAAGTAAAAAAAGTTGACTTCTGGTCATAACTGAAAGTGTTGGTTTGACCCAGTGGTAGCCAATAGGATACCCTCCAGATAGCATTCGAAATTAGCCAGGCATTGGGCGCATTTTGTACCTGGCTATCGGCCACTTGCGACCATGTGAAGATTATTGGGGCACCAGGACAGCACCTGATGTCTCTACTCTCTGGAGCTGCATGCCTGGGGATCATTGGATCTCGCCTGTTGGCACACACTAGCAACACAGCCTGTAGAAGTCAATCCATTATATTTTATCTGCAAAATCGGAATGAATTTTAGGAACCAAAAAGTTGTTTTGAAAAATATGACTTTCGAGCCATCTGGCTCCAAAATGGCAACTAGGCATTCTGTTTTAGTGACTGTAACCCAGGTTTAAGGAGCCAATTGGCTCCTAGCTTATATAACTGAGTTTTTTAACACTGCCTCCAGATGTTTCCAGCTTCCAGCAGTTGCAGCCAGCATGGAGACCTCTATACTTCCAGAAGTCCTTTTCCCACAGCTGATCTCCGTATTGATTGCTGAATTGCTCTTGTAGAGCATGAAGCCAGGTCATTTCTAGCATTGCTCCATCTTTGCAGGGTATCGTTGACTTGCCAAGACCCTCCATTTCTGCTTTCCTAAAAGAAGGCTAAAACTTTGTTTATTCCAGCAACCCTCTACAGTTGTTAGAATGAGATCTGTAAGGTCTGGCTGTTGGGGATGCTAGTGTGGACTGCTTTAATTCATTGTTTTGCAATGCCTGTTTTATTTATGACATAGCTCATCTCCCCACCCTCACTGCTAGTTTTTTTAAAAAGGAGATGTATTTTTCAAACATGGACTAATACTACATTATAAATTGGAATTTAAAATAAGGCTGTGTTCCTAATCATGCTTATTTGAATATTAACAGTGTCGTATCCAATGCTATTCCTACTCATAGTAGACTCCTTGTAATTAATGGGAATGACTCCCTTGGGATACTGTTAATCAGCTATTAGATGAATTGAATCCTGCTGCTCTCTTCCTTCTTGCCCTGAAAGGC